GCTAGCTTTAAGAAAATAAATTGCACTTATTCACTACATATTTTAAAATTAAAAACACAGGGACAGTTATTAATATGGTGCATTTTAATTTGATGTTTTGTTCAGCTAAATTCTTTTTCTACTTTGCCTCAGGCCCTTCATGCCATTGATTATAACCAAAATTAAATAGTAAAAGAAACCTGGAAACAGGGTTAGTGTAACACTATATGGCAACCTCTGCTTTGTGGCCAAAGAGTGCACTATTTCCTCTGCCAGATGGGATTATGGTCAAGGTCACACAGCAGGTGATAAAAGTAGTCAATCATGTTTTCAGGTTTTGTCTGGAAGATGAACATTAAAAACACTGAAAAACAAAAAAACAGGAAAAAAAAAGTGAAACACCTTAGTTGAGAACAGGAGAGACAAGAAAAAGAAGCAGGGATAAACTGTGAGAGTAGTGGAAAAAGATGGGGTAGATTGAAAACATGTGTTCTCAGTGTCCGGTACGCACCAGTAGAGCTGAAAATAAGGAGAGGGACAGTTGCACTGTAGCTTCATTGGAGAGGACACACTCGACCGTCTGTTCTCTAAAGAACTCCTTGTACAGAGACAAGGCCTTCTGGGAACATTGCTATCATCTTAAAAGACCCTCTCATTCTTTTACTCCATTTCAAATTCTGGTTCTCTCTCTCTCTCTCTCTCTCTCTCTGGTGCTCTCAACTCTCTTCTCCCTCCTTGAGCTGAGGGTGAGGTCATTAGGGAGAAATGGTGATATCTTTAAAGGGCCTTCTGTGGCTGAAAGAACACCATTGGCAAAACCCACAGGATCCAAGTGATGAATCAGTGGTCACAGAGCACAGAGGGGATATAGGAATTTAAGTGGGGTTACAAATGTGTGTGTGCATTCATGTATATGTGTCTGTGTCTATTGTGCAGATATTAAGACTAAGCGACAACACATGGGGCAAATTTGGGATTTAAAAGAGGTTACTAAAGGTTCCCTGGAGATGGACAAAAGGTGTCCCTAATTTTACACTTGATTATAGTTGAAGTAAAGGTCAAAGTGAAAATCCTTTACTGGGAGGCTTAAATATATGTTGGTGATTCAAATGCAATTCCAAAGAACTTAACCTTATGGTGCATACTGGAGTGTGCTAACTTTGGTGCAAAAGAAATAAAATTTTGTACTGAAAGCCTCTGCAGATTACAGAATGTATAAGGTCAGGTCTTTGCAAAAGTATTCATGCCCCGTTCATCTTTTTCACAATGTCATGTTATGACTAAAACTGCCTGGACCTGAAACCAATTGAGAATCTGTGGCAACACCTGAGGACTGATGTTCATAGACATTCTTTGCTCATGCAGAGAATAATGGACAGAGATGTCAGTCTCAAGATGTGCAAAGCTGGTAGAGACATAACCAGAAACTTGAATCTCAAATGGACGTTGTACAGATTTTTGCTTCTCAAAGATGAATTACTCCATGTTGGTGTATCACATGAAAGTTTGAATAGGTTTTTTGAACTTTGTTGCTGTTGCCAGACACAAATATTATATATATATATATATATATATATATATATATATATATATATATATATATAAATAAAGGTTGAGTTTTTTGCATGGTACTATAGATGGCAAAAATTGAAATGTGCATCACTTGGGGTACTCAATCCACAGATAAAACGCTTTAAAATCTGTAAAGTGTTAATCTGGAGAAAGCATTGCTAAACAAATCCAATGCAGAGATCCCATTGGAGATCAATGCATACAATTGTGTTAATTGACTTCAGTAAGTAGAATGGTGCTCCATTATGACAAAGGGGAAATCAACAAAACGGAGAAATAAAAAAAAGAGAATCACCTGAGGCAGAAAACTATTTCACCACTTTACAGCTGAAACTTTTAGGTGTACTATTCTTTTCTCCATCTACTTTTGAAGGGCGTTACGGTTAGTGTTTTCCATTAGGCAGCAAAGCAACTACACTTACATCAGTCATTCAAGTGAGATTCAAAATGTAAAGTGTTAGAAAGCTTTAACCCATCAGGAACACTGGGCCAGCAGTGGTCTCACCTGTATAACCCAGTTGATTTTCATATGTACAATTTTATGGTTAAAACCAATCACACTCTCATTACTGGCATTTTCTGTTGCACAGACATGAACTTCTATGAATGAGGTCATTAAAGGTAACCTTTGAGCAATTTTGACTGATCCTAAAAGATTATATATGAAAGTACTTCAAGCCCACGATTATTGTAAATATTGTCACCCAAGAGTATCAGCAACCTTAGCAATATGAAGCTCCTGCAACACTTGGCACACAGTTTACATATCTGTGGGCTTGGATAATAAACCCATAATGATGCTTAAGAGACTCGGTGCAAAATTAAACATGTTATTTTTCCTCCACTGTTGCATGGTAAGCTAATAAGCATGCAATAATCTTTCCTCCAAAACCATATCCAAGTCTCCTATAATAAGAATCAGTTTCTAAAAGAACAATAGCAATTTTCAGGCTTACCTGAAAGTTGCTATTGTTTGCTATTGGTTGCTATTGTGACAACCAAGAGGCACACAAGGTCTAGGCGTAAGGTTACAGAAACACTTCAAACAGGGTTACTTTATAAAACATTCAGACTTGCTACCCAATACACTATTGCAAAGTTGTTGCATTTGTATTTTTGCTACCAATTTTTAGGTGTACATAGTGCAACACAAAAATCTGGCCTGTATGGAAGAGAAATAAATATAAAGCTATTACACAAGCCACATACAGGAAAAAAGCAAACATGAAAAGATGCTTAGGTTGGGGCTTTGAACTTTTTAGCCTACATGCAAAGCCATGTGTGTTGCAGTAAAATAAACACACATCATCCTAAATACCATCATCCAAAGAGAGATGTTTTCCCTTGGCATGGCCAAGGTCACTGGGACAGAGTTAATTCAAGAAGCAAACTTGTTAGATTTTGCTAAATACTTGAGAATCAGATGGGAGTTCACCTTAAAGCAGACAATGAATCTAAACACATACTGCCAGAGAAGCATATGTTTAGATCAAGGCAAGTTTAGATATATAGAACCATTCAAGGTAATCCAAAGTGCTTTACATGATGTAACAGGGAAGACATAAAGAAAACAAAGCACAAGCATAAAAGTATTACCGAAAGGAAAAAAAGATGCTAAAATGCAGATATTAAAGGCACAAAAGAAACTAATGTTTTAAACAGTTCATTAGTCAGACAAAAAGCTGCAGTGAATGAAAACATTTTTTGTCTTGATCGAAGGGAACCAACAGGTTTACAGGCAGTTTGTTCCAGAGCAGAGGAGTATAGAAACCAAATGTTTCTTCACTTTGTTTTGCTCTGGTTCTGGGAATGTTGAGTAAACAGGTCTACGAAAACCTAAGGTTGCTACATAGTTCATATTTGGACAAAAACCAAAAGCCAAGACCATTTAGTGCTTAATAGCTTTTCTTTGACAAACGGCAAATGGGGACTCACTGTAATGTTGGGAACTTTTATGAAATGATCCATGTTCCTGGTGTTAATCCGGACTCTGACAGCAGTTTTTAGTATTATCTGCTGATTGATATTTTCTTTATTTTTACACAGATCAGTAAAAGACACTGTTCCAGCACTCCAATATACTAAAATAAAAGCATGCAGCATTTTTGTGTCCTGTTTTGACAGGTCATTTTTTTTATTTTAACAATGTACTTTAATTGGTAGTAATCATATTCAGTGTCACACTTTGTGTGTCTGCTAATATTAAGATCTATGTCCAGAAATACACTCAGCTTCCTTGCATGCTCTGTGTTCTGTGAGCCTCGTTAAGCACTGATCTTAAACCTGGCATTTTTTTTAGATTAGAAACATTGGTTTCTTTCAAAGCATAAGTGTGTTGTTAGAATAGCCCAGTGAATAGAAAATCTGCGGAAAGACTTAAAAATTTATAAAAGGTAACTTGGCAATCATTTCAGATATCATAGGTATGTAAAGCTGATAACGACCTAACCTGGAAGACTTTTTAAAATACAAATGCAGTAAAAATGTGTTTTTTGAAAGTGCTGACTCTTTGGGGAAAAACCATGCCACTTAAGTTTTGAAAATGTTAAGATTTTAACTATGACTCATTTTCTTCAAATTCACAATAATTACCAACTTTGTTTTATCATATCATATAAAATTCATAGAAAAACACAACAATGTTTGTGGTTGAAACCTAGACATTTAGCCTGTACGTTTAGAGTGAAAGCAACCCACCTAATGGAGATTGGCCATGACGGAGAGTTGACACCCTGACAGGACTGTATCTGAATTCAGTTAGCTGCTTTGTTTTACAAAGAAGAAATTCTGCCTGTACTTTTGTGATCCGATTTCAATTTTGAACTGAGGGAACTGCAGAGACCAACCTCAGAAAGAACACGAGAAACTGGACAGATAGGCAAGCAACATGCTGACGCACCAATGGGTTTTGAACAGGCATACACAATAACAAAGGCAAAAATATAGTATATAGTGTGACGCTTTCGACTAGCACTAGGGCACATTATAAATGAGACATAGGCTATTTGTAGCCTAATGTTATGGTTAATGGCCTGGAAAGAGAGAACAGTGAATGAGAAATCACATACACAAGCAGGCAAACTGGCATGAAACTGAAATAGAAAAAAAAAAAAAAAAAAAATATATATATATATATATATATATATATATTTTTTTTTTTTTTGTGAGTAAATATGTTTATGTGATAGTATCAATCCAGGTCTATATGCATGGGTTGGAGAGAGCAAGGTTGTAGACTTCACTATATGGTTAAAAATGTATTAAAATCCTTCCCTGCAGGGAGGTCACTGATACCATTACAGCAAATGAAAGAAATAAGTCCTCTCTAAATTAGAACAATTATGTTGTACTCTGGTAATCATTGGCCTTACATTATGTAGTCTCTTATTATTGCGAAGGGAAGAGTTAGCAATAAAAGACAGACGGGCAAGAAAAGTTAATTGACTCACCAAAATCGGAATCGTAGAAGAGGACGAACTTCTGCCAGCTGTATTCAGACACCACCTGCATGATAACTTCGTTGAGGAACACAGGTGGGCGAACCATAAGGGTGTAGTCGTCAGCTCCAGGAATACGACTGGTGGGCGGACATGTCGAGCGCGGCGTTCCCACTGGAGAGCGCTGGATATAGAGATGGGGTATATGCATGGCATCGGCCAGTGTTTGAAGGCTACCTGCTGACATGCAGCCAATAGAGCTGACCAGAGCCAGGATACCACGGTTCATCAGCTCGCAAGCTAGATGGAGGGGTAAGGAGAAAAGGAAAGGGGAAAACAAGAGAAGAACTGGTTACTTTATGTTCTACTATTACATATTTTATAGCACAAATTGTCATGTTTGATTATTTATTTATGGTAATACAGTATTTTCTCCTTCATGGAAAGCCTAGCATGTAGTTTTATGTTGTTTCCACAAAAACTAAATGTGATTTTAAGCCTTAGGAGGTCCTAATCTATTCAACCGGCCCGAGTTAAACAAAAGATGTACAGTGCTGTTTATGGTCCAGTTCACTCTAGATTGACTAGCTCTTACTCAAGAGTCTATCATCTCAGAGAACAGAAAATGGACTCAGGACTTGGAGGACTGGTACCAGCAAACCAGCTCCTGTTCAATGCGGAGAAAACCAAGGAGCTGGTGGTGGATTTGTGCAGGTGCAGACCTACCACACTGAGACCAGTAAACATCTAGGGAGTTGACTTGAAATAGTAGAACCTGGGTGTTCAGCTGAACAACACAAACTGGGCTGGACTGATAAAAAATTATGCTCAAATGAAAAAAGTACAGTGCAGTAAAACTACTAGGTACCATGTTTCCCAAAGAAATTACTCAAGTATGTAACCAGTGGAGTACAATCCACCTCTGAACATAGATAACACAATTAGAGCCTGTTCTTGTTAACAAGACAAGGCAATCACCTAGTCATCATTTAGCAAACATTACCTGGATCCAACAGCATTACTCAACTCACTCGGTCAGTTAGGGGAGAAAAACTGTGCAAAGTTATTTTCTTTTTGCTGGTTTGCTGCCATAATGCTAACACACACACCAGCGCGCCGCCCTGCATAGCAGCAGCAGGTCTTCTTCTTGTTGGGTTTACTGGCGGTTGGCAACAAACGTTTACCACAGGCGTTAAAATCGTCGGGGCCGCGCAAGCGTGTTAGCGCTCATGTTGCGTTTAAAGGCAGCTCGGAAAAACACGTCATCACATGTTAATGGATTGAACTGTTGTAACGGCTGAAAAAAGTGCGGGAGAGAGAGGACATACATACGGGGAGTGCTGTATATGTATCGAATCTACTGTATCAAATCGAAATAGGAATAGTAGTTAGCCACTTAGAGGTAAAATATAATAATAAAAAAAGCAGCTTCCAGACCAGAGTGGGCACAGCTCACTCTCTGAGAGGGTGATGCCTGCCCACGTCGCAGAGTCTGGAGGAGAAGATGGATAAGACCAGAAGACCCAGTTCTGTCCCAGGATGCACCAGTGAAGGTGGTGGGGGTCAGAAAAAACATCTATTAAACTCGGTGGGCGGGATTAGAACAGCTTCTATGAAACTCAGCAGTGGTTGCTTCAAACAAGCCAAGACAACTTCTTTGAAGTTTGCCATTACTCTGGGTCAATACTGTCACCTTTTTTATATCTACAGACAAAATATTGAAAACAATCATTTTATTTCCATATCACAATATCACGTCTTAATCGTAATCTAGAAAGATTCACGTGAGATGAAGAAAGGTTAAAGAGATTTACTAGGCACTAAAAAAAAAAACACAATTATAAAACAAAATGAGCCGTTTCAGATGTTCATTGTCAATGACAGTCGAGCAGTTTCTGAAGCTATTTTATTGGTGAGTGGAGACATGGATATGTTGAAAACAAAGGTCATTACAAGGGAAACCAAAAACTACAATAAAATGCTCTTGAACCTTTCCCTATGACCGCAAATTGTGATTTAATGAGTTAAAGTATCGCGTCTTCTTGCTGGGCTTTATCATTAATTTTTCAGTAGTTTGTGCTCTACTGACTGAAGCTTCCTCATCTGAGAGACAGTGTGTGCCAACCTTTTCTGCCCCCTGGGCTTCCGGTGCTATCAGAACACCTCTACCTCCCACCAACCCCGCTGTTATCTCTCTTCTTGTCAAAAAGAACCCCTCTGAGTGCATACCTTTCAGTCCCAATCATTTCATGGCCATTTTCATTTTAATTGCCCCACAGCACCACAGAATGCCCCGCATTGTCCTCAGTCTGGAGTCACACGTCTTCTCTTCTTCTTTTTTAACACACTTTCTTCACAATTATTTCCATCACCACCCCCAACTCTTATTTTAGGATCCTTACCAAGAAACATTATTCTCCCTCGTGTTCTGCTTATTCTCTTGACAACACCAGTGTCTACTGATTCAGTTGCTCATTCTGTTGCTATATTTTTCTTCTGATTTATACCCACTCTCACTTCTCTTTGTCCTCAGTTCAAAACTTCTAACAACCCGACCTCCCACATTCTGTCCTCATGTCCTTGTGCCTGCTTTTCATCCCTCATCCATCTTGATCTGTATTTCACTTCCACTCCCATATTGCTCTTGACTGTGTCCTTCACTGTTAAAAGTGTTACTTTACCTTCTAGTAGAATAAAATCTCATCACAGTGCCACTAGATACATCAAAAAACAAAACAACAACAACAACAAAAAAAGAAGCAGGAAAATATATTTTATAAAATGTGAATAGAAAACACCTTGATTTGCACCCTGGCCAGTCTCAATGTATATTAGCACTTTAAAATACACAATAAATACTGTTTAATGCCACTGGGAGTATTCTGTTGACGGTGCAGAAATCGAGCCAAAAGAAAGAAAAGGAACTAAAGGGGGGGGGGGGGAAACAAAACAATATCTCAAAGAAAGAGCTTACGGAGACACACTTATGGTGCTGAGAAAGGCAGGAAAAAAAGCATTGTATGTGTGCATACGTGTGTGAAAGCACATGAGAGCTACTAAATATGACAACTGGGCTGTAGATGTTAGTTTGCACAAAAGCTGTATATCTAAAATCTCAAGTTAGCTTGTGGATACTTTTCTAAATGTCAAGCTGTGTTTTATTTATGTCCACAGCAACTGCAGAAAAGCCTTTTCTGACAAAAATCTGTACAAATACTAAGTGTACCAGTGTTATGTAACACATTAAAGTGGGTGCACTGATGAGCAGTATTCACTGTTTTTGAGAGCACTGAACTCAATAATGCTGTTTCTTTCATAACATACATAAACTGAACAAAATTGTCACTGGCATCATCACACAGCTCTCTGTTTAGAGGGGAACTGAAGATATAACCTTTGAATCTCTTAGGCAAACTTGTACTATCATGCAAAAAAGATGTGCAACATTTTCTTTAACAGGGAACAGCTTGGTGACTTGTGTGACCATTTTCCTAACATGTACTACATCGTGGGGACTGACTGCTACTTAAGGGCCCAAAGCCTGGACCCCATAACAAGAAGTGCTGTGTTTTCGGTTTGTCTTAGAACTATGGCGTAAATTTAGCTTAGATTTGGTTTAGCGTTAAGCATGTACTAGAAATCGTTAGATTAAGGTACATGTCAGGGTGAGACTACAGAAATGAATGGAAAAAAATGGAAGCCATTGCAAATTCTTTGTGACGATAGAAAGACACGCTATATGTGCATGTATGCTTGCACATGCAACATTCAGGCTCTTTTCACACTCACTATTTCTCTCAGTGGAAACAAGTTAATGATATGTGTGGCTCTTATTAAATTAAACAGATCTAAATAAGACAGCAAGGCACAGATTGTGAATGGCACACAATTTTGCAATCGATATGCTAACTGCTCAGTTGTCACTCCAACTGTTTCTTAGTGAAACCAGGCTAATTTGGAATCAATGTCTTTAAATAAATGAACACAAATCATTGTGCTTATAATAGCCTAAATATTGTAAGGAACAATTTTCCATGAGTCTGAGCTGAACAACGTTAGTTCAGTCATCCATTTCCCTGCACATTGATGTAGAAGATTAATGAGTCAGAGAGAAAGCAGTTTTAATCTAACTGGCCATTCCATAAGTCCACATTTTTAGGAATTAATTAAAGTGTAACAATATATGATTGAAATTCACTAAGTCATAGCATATTTCCTAGTCTTCGTGCTTATTCTTAAAATCAATGAGTCCAGGATTCATTTTCTGTCCAGGAGTAACTTAATAATTAAGCCCATACATGCCTTTGGGGATCTAGGAGAGGAAAATTGCACCTGTGGATTTACATTAGGTGTGAATTGCTGTTCTGTGTGAGAGTCTGCATTCCTCTATATGTCAGAGGTGACCATGCCAGCCGCCGTTGATGAAAGACTTTATGCAGACTCCACTTCCACATTACAGTGGTCATGGTAACTAATACTTTAGCTTCATTGGCCTAGTCTAGCTATAGTGAATTAGCTTAGCATTATCAAGACTTTGGCTAATAGAAGGCTTTGCTAATCCGCTATTTATTAGGGCACTTTGGAGAATTAGTGCCCTCATCCCCTCTACATCACACACTCTTTAGTCTGTGGGGGGCTTCTAAGCACTCAGCTCATTAATACTCCTTGCTAATGACTTAAAGGACCCGTTGCGTTAACACAGGCCAACTTTACATCACTCTGATGTAGTGAACAGTTTAATGAGAGTAAAAATTGAAGGGGAAAAATTAGTAAGAGCAAAATGGAAAGCAAGTAAGTTTGAAAAATTTGATCGTACTTAAGAGGAAAAAAATACCTGTGGAATACTTTTGGTATGTGCAAATATTAAAATAATAGAAAAAAAATCCACAATAGTCCTCTCTCCCATTTTGTGTTGCAAGATAGCACACACAGATTCTCAATGTTAAAAAACAAAAATCACAGCTGTGAACGGTGACGACACTTTAAGCACAAAGCAAGTATGGACGTTTGGGCAGATATTTGTGTAGGAGTGAAAATTTAGCCGCTTGGAATCTTTCACCTATCATCTCACTCAGCTAGCCTCCGGTAACGCAGACCACACTGCAAGCCCCCACACAAACACATTACCTCCCTTAATGCTGTACAGATGGATTCTAAATCTTTGCAGGGTAACTCCCAGTAAATAAGTAAAGATTTATCAAGTAGTCATGTCGAGGTATTCATTTAAAGAATGTCAGTCATTCAGGTCAAACATGTACACATCAGCATGCTTCCACTGTTGGCCTCTGGGACTCTTAACGAGGTTCATCTAATTTGTAAATGTAATTGTTCTTGCCGTATCCATTTTTGCAAATGTCATTTCTTCATGACATGTCCCACGCCTGAGTTGCAAACTCAGACATCGTGCTTGCATTGGTTTAAGCACATTTTCAAAAGTCAAAACCAGGAAGTCATGCTGTTTTAACATGTTTTGTACGTCACCGTGTATTGTGCATTTGTCTTCTGCAACCAAGCATGCTATTGGGACCCGTCTCCTGCTTGTCATTCTTTCAGAGTAAATGAACTGCAAGCACTTCACTCGCATTCGGGTGCGATTGACATTTTTTATGCTTCTGTCCTGGCAGTTCTCTTCCCTCCACTCACTGACACCCGCCATGCACTCTTTATCACACTGAGACATTGTCCTACAGTTTCTCTGGCCTGGTGACCTACCGTGGAAATTAGAGGGAAGGGAGCTGGACTCGAAGCAAGTAAATCAATACTTGAGGAAACCAATAAAAAAAGAGTGTGTCCATAGCCCTAGAACATCTCTGAAGTTTAAATACAGTGAGAAGCTGAAAATATTTTCACACAGGTCAAAGAAATATCCTGTCTTTTAAACTTTCTGATTTCACATATTGCCCTACCTGTCACAGGTTTTGCAAAAGAGGCTAGATAACCAAAAGTATACTACAGTATACATATAAACTTCAAGTAATGAGGAACAGTAACACTGTATGTGTCATAAAAGGAAATTAGCAGCAGACTATATTCATTGTTTGCAAAGTGCTAAATAGGTAGAAATTTACCAAAATCCTTAAATTTACAAGACACGGAAAAATCTCAGTCCATATGACAAGCATGTGATGGGGAAGCTTAGTTGATTCCAGGGCAGATTGGCATGT